TAAAATATTTTATTTTAATTTAAAGGTGTGTAGAATTCAGTGACATCTAGTGGTAAAGTTGCATGTTGCAGCTGAACACCCCTCACCGCACCCTCTTCTTCCAAACATGAAAAAGATCCTGTGATAGACTTCAGTTGTCACAAAAACTCAAAAGATGTTTAGTTTGTCCAGTTTGGACTAATGTTAAAAAACATGGCAGCCCCTGCAGAGAGGACCCACCCCTGATTTAAATATAAGTATTTAAATGTAAAGGGATAATTCTAGAGTAAAGAAAACAATATTTCATACAATTTAGATGAAACGCACCAGTGAAATCATCACTAGGATTATTTTATATTAAACTTCTGACAATAGATCCCTTTAATTTAAATCTTACACACTGGTCATTCAAGGTCACAATCTCAATGTTTGGTTTGGGTTATGGTTGGATTAGTGAAAGTTAACACCTAAAATGAAGTTTCCTGTTTGGTTGATGCCCATTAGTTCAACAAATCTTACTAAATGGTTTAATTTTAATCTGTTTTTGATCTTTGAGGCAATTAATATTCTATTTTTTTTTGGTAATGAAGCCAAAATACCCACAAGCCTGTGCTGTTGGAGAGTTAGTTAGTACCTCCTGATTTCGTCATTGAAACTTAAGGTTTTGGAACTTTAAATTGGTTCCACATTGAACGCACAATGGAATGTACATAGTAAATGTCATAAAGAGTTTGTAGCAGTACTGCTAGTGCACAGTAGGAGGCAGTGGACTCTCGTGCTGACTTCAGGAGGACAGATGCTTCTGCTGCTGTGGCCTGGTTTCCAGTTTCTGGCTGGCTGCCTCTCAGACACACCCAAAGCGCTGCTCACATAATGACAGACCTGCTGCCCTGCAGATTTATAGAAGGCAAACAGCAGTCGGCTGGCTCAGGACAGAACTTAATGGCCTACTCTTCACTGCATGTGGTTAGACTGATTTCATGTTTCTGTACAGGGAAACAGACTGGGGAGGATCTACATGTTCTGTAATGACATACTGGGATATTGTAACATTTTGATTGCCTTCAGTCATAATTTAATCTTCAATTCTTCTCTTTCATCATTGCTATCCCCCCCTTCTGTAGAAATGATCAGTTACAGATCAGCTACTCTAAAATCTTGTCATACTGAAACAAATTAGAACGCATGATAATAGATGAAGAACTCCGGTAGATCTATGATCAGAGATCATAACCTTCCCTAAGGAAGTTGTGTTTTCACTTGTCTTTTTGTTTGTGGGTTGGTTTGTATATATTTCTTTGTTTGGAAAGAAGATATCGCAAAAACACCAGAACAGATTTCAACAAAACTTGGTGGAAAGACTTGGAATATGGCTCAGGAACGAACCCATTCAACTTTGCTGTGGATCCAGATCAGGGGGTGGATCCACAATTTTCTTTTTCCCACTTTCTTTAACATTGCAAGATTTCAACATATTCACACTTCTCCCAGGGAATAATTCATGGATCATGAAAATGCCATTTTGGTTCTGGAATTGTTTTGCTTTAGGTGTCACAAACACAGCAGGTTAACATTAAATAACCATGAAGTGATGAGGGAGCACCGCTCAGTGTGATGTATGATTTTAGTTCAACGGATTTAAGCAATATTTGGTGGAATGATGCAATATAGTACAGGAAACAACTATCTAAACTTTGGTGTTGATCTGGAGGATTTGTTTTCACTTTCTTCATGATTTCAAGCGTTTTCAACATTTTCCTTGATTTCTCAGAGAGTAAAACAGACATGTGTAGGTGGACTGATATTTATGAGTGTTCTGGGAGTTTTCTGGAAGCTGGTGAAGAAAGAACTCAGGCAGCAGCTGACGTCTTATCCCAAAGATTTGAATGTACACTTGATGCATCAAGGAGACCAGAAGGTGAAACAATACACAAACACTAACACAGTAACATTAGCTAATGTCCCCCCCAAGTCTGAAGATGTCTCCCACAGCATCCCCATATATCTTCCTCTACTTGTGTCACCCATTCTAACAGCTCATCAATGAATGGCTAGAATTGCTGTCACTCTCTATGTTACATGTAGGTGCTCACATCCTGTTAGATAGTTCAATCTAAATATGCATTCCTAAACCACATTGTGTCCTCACGTCTGGACACTGGTGGAAAACACAAAAGAGTGGAAGTTGGTGTCTCTCTGTCTGGGACATCTGAGTTAGATATGAAAGTCTCTAAGTGTAGACACTACAATGTACTGTTGGTTGGTACTTTATCTACAACCTGACCTTGGGTACTGCTTAGAGAGAGAAGAGAGACAGACACACTTCTCTTAATGGTGTACAGATATAATGTAATATACTCTCTATATACATAACACAGTATATAGTGGCATACACAGTAATGTGTGAGGTTTTACAAAAAATCCTCAACAATGAGTGTATGCATTTTGGGGAAGATCCAAATAAAAATCCAGATCTGATGAATTGAAATGTGGATTCATAAGAGGTCTGTTGGGTCTTGGCGGAGGTATGCACTCCTCAGAGTGCCATTCTAGTTTTTATTGCTGATTGATAGACAATAAGTGTGAAACTGAATCAATACTAAGAGATCCTGTTAATTGCAATTCATTTCTTCTGGCAGATCTGTAGCTTTTTTTCCCTTCATATAATAGTAATAAAATATCTGTGACATCACAGCCCTTTGAGAGAACCAGGACATTTCCCAGTGTCCTCGTGCATCAGGTGTAGCTCATACCTCGCCTATGCATGACAGCTACCTCAGCAGTGCAGGCATGTGTGTGTGTCCATAGCACTGCTGGCATTTAGTAATGTGGATAACTTACCTACAGAGTCAGTGGTCTGATGGTTTGTGTGAGGGCTGTCTGGGATGGAATCCATTTCTCAGCTTGAACTTATACTTTGGTTGTAAATTGAAATATGACTGAAAATAAAACATGATTTTCTTGTATGAACACTGTTGTCACCACTTCACACTCAGCTAAAATTAGACAATGTGTGTTTTTTAAAACAGAGCCTGAAGGCAGGAAAGAAAATTCCTGTTTTGAAACTGTCCCTCACAAACACATATCCACAGACGGTCTCTGGCTCAGTCTTATTGGGAAGCTAATGACAAATATAATACAGCTAATATATGAACCGAGGGTGTAATATATAAATAAAGATACTTTGAAAAAGAGTTGACTATTAATAGCGATATGTAAACAAATGCTCCTTTCCTTACAAACCCATTTTCACTCCTAGGAAATATATTGTTATACTGTTAATGCTGATAAATAAATATAAATAGTAACTAATAATATACATTACTAATACTAACACTAATATACATAATTGTTCATTGTTATTAGTAGTAGTAGTACTATCTGTGCTCTCCTCACTCTTTGGTCATCTGTGGTTGTTCCTGTGTTCCGGGTCCCTGTCTTTGGATGACATGTTTTTGAGATTCCGGTTTTTGAGAAATTCCTCCTCATTTATTTAAATACCTTCATTGCATCCTGTCATTGTATGTGTCTGCA